GGGGGGGGGATAGAGAGGTTGCAGGGATCCAAAAGAGGTGGGGATCGGGGTGGGGGGGTGAGTATTGCTACAGCGCCTGGAGAACCAAGGTCACTGGCCACAGGGGGAGAGAGGCAGGGGGGCTGGGCTGTAGGGTTGCCAGCCTCCAGGCGGGGCCTGGAGATCGCCTGCTTTTACAACTGATCTCCAGCTGACAGCGGCTCCCCTGGAGAAAATGGCTGCTTTGGAGGGTGGACTCTGTGGCTGAAGTCCCGCCCCTCCCCAAACCCCGCCTTCTCCTGGCTCCACCCCCAAAGTCTCCAGGTTTTTTCCAACCCAGACCTGGCAACCCTACTGGGCTGTAAGGGGGAGGGGGGCAGAAGGGAGCCCGCCCACCCCCCTTTGCACTTCAGAAGTCTGGGGGAGGGGGAAATTGAGGTGGTCTCGCTCCACTCCATTCTACAGGGCTGCCAACCTCCAGGTGGTGGAAATCCAAAAACAACACCGGGACAAAGATAACGAAGAGCCGATAAAGATAGGTTGCAAAATCATTTACTTATAGTAATTCTGCAGGAAGTTCTCCCCTATTATCGACCGCACGCTAACGAATGCTGCGCGGTGCAAACAATTTGTTTCACAATATTTGCTCTGAGCGTGTCGCAATCAAGCCCTTGGGTTCTGTCCTTAGAGAGTCAACATGGAATGTTTCCTTCAAGAGTTGATAAGCTGATAAGGAGTAATTGATAAGGATTGTGAGCGATAATAGAAGAGAATTTTCGACGGAATTACTACAGTAAATGATTCTGCAACACATCTTTATTGACGCTTCGTTATTTTTGTCTCGGATGTTGTTTTTGGATTTCCACTTCCTCCCGTGATCTCTCATTTTTAACCTCCAGGTGGTGGCTGGAGATCTGCCACTGTTACAACCAGATCCCCAAGGGAGAGAGATCAGTTCTCCTGGAGCAAAAATGGTTGGTGGACTCTGTGGTGGGCCTGCCTCACAGGGTGTCTGTTGTGGGGAGGGGAAGGGAAAGGAGTTTGTCAGCCACTCTGAGACTCCGAGTGAAGGGCGGGGTATACATCCAATCTCTTCTTCTTCTTCTGTGGCATGATAGGCCGTTGAAGTCCCTCCCCTCCCCAAACCCCGCCCTCCCCAGGCTCCACCCACAAGATCTCCAGATACTTCCCAACCTGAAGCTGGCAACCCTCATAGAATCACAGAATCATAGAGTTGGAAGGGACCACCAGGGACATCTAGTCCAACCCCCTGCACAATGCAGGACATTCACAGCTACCTCCCCCCCACACACACACCCCAGTGACCCCATGCCCAGAAAATGGCAAAAAACCTCCAGGATCCCTGGGCCAATCTGGCCTGGAGAAAAATGGCTTCCTGACCCCAAAGTGGCGATCAGTGTTTCCCCGGGCGTGTAAGGAAGGGCCACGAGAACCAAGCACTGAGGCGACCCTTCCTGCCCTCCCTCGCATGATCTGCCCACAGAATCCGCATGGCTGTCAGATGGCCATCGAGCCTCTGCCTCCAAAGGAGGAGAGCCCACCACCTCCTGAGGAAGCCTGTTCCCACTGAGGAACCGCTCAATGCTCTAACCCTACCACTCCACAATCCCTAAACCCCACCTAAAGTGTCACCAAACCACCCAGAGAAAGTCACCCCTCTGCCCCCCCCATCCCTCCTTTACCCCAATGCCCTGCCACGACAACTTCGCTCATCGGAGCTGGGCCTTTGGCATAAAGGTGCCTTCTCTGTGGTGGCCCCCATTGTGTGGAAAGGCCCGGCTGAGGAGATCAGGAAGGTTCCCGCTCTCCGGGCTTCCTGCAAAGTATGCAAAACTGAATGATTCAAGGGGGCTTTTCTACGCAGGCAACTGAGTACCACTGTTGCAGATGGCTTCACAAAGTTACTCGGATAACTCACTGGGGACTGCAGTCTGTGTGCATAGTTTGCTGTGGGCTGGATCCTGTTGTGCAATTTTTGCATTGTTTAATGTGTCGTGGTAACATGTCTGCCTTGCTTCAGTTCTGGGTTTTTTCTTCTGGATTCCTGGTTGGTTCAACAACCCTAACCCTATTTCATTGTTTACTGACTGTCCCACAATGCAAACTGAAGTCTGGTGTAGTGGTTAGGGGTACGGAGTCTAATCTGGGAGAACCTGGTTTGATTCCCGACCCCTCCACATGGAGCCAGCTGGGTGACCTTGGGTCAGTCACAGTTCTCTCAGAGCTGTTCTCTCAGGAGCCATTCTAAAGAGAGCTCTCTCAGCCCCGCCTACCTCACAGGGTGTCTGTTGTGGGGAGGGGAAGGGAAAGGAGTTTGTAAGCCGCTCTGAGGCTCCTTTGGGTAGTGAAGGGTTGTGGTTAGTAGCCACCAATATGGTGATGTCCTCTTTAAAGAGATAAAAAACAAGGCCAAGTCCAACTGTGGAAAATATCAGTAGCCAGTACAAGATCAGTAGTACTGTTTTCGAAGAATGACTGCAAGACTAACAGATTCCCCTGACGAAACCTGTTGGCAAAATGCATACGGAATGTTGGGAATTTTAACTGGGTAATAAAATATATCTTTGCCCTGTTTTACACCGTCGGCCTTGGCCTTACTGTACATCTCTTAGAAGAGAACAGATTGGATTTATACCCCGCCCTTCACTACCCAAAGGTGTCTCAGAGCAGCTTACAAATTCCTTTCCATCCCCATCCCCACAACAGATACCCTGTGAGGTAGGTGGGGCTGAGAGAACTCTTTTGAGGACTGCTCTTGAGAGAACAGCTCTGAAAGAACTGTGACTGACCCAAGGTCACCCAGCTGGCTGCATTTATTTATTTATTCAACTTTTACCCCGCCCTCCCTGCCGAGGCAGGCTCATGGCCGCTTACATAAAACCAATAAAACAATACACATATCACAATAAGAAATACATAAAACATAACTTAAGACTGTTAATATATCAATGGCGGTACAGTTAAGTGCATTTGTGAACATGTTCAGCGGTGAACTCACTCTGTGTAATCTGCTTTGAGTCCCAGTGAGGAAATAATGGATATAAATTCCTTGGCCGCAGTCCCTTAAAGTCTTTCATACCTCTGTGGAGCAAACCCTAAATATATGTAGCTGAATGCCCCCTCCCTAAATCTCCTCCCTTTCATCTGAGGCACAGACAATGTTCCCTCTAATTAATCCCCCCCCCTCCCGCTGAGCTGAGCAATTCCCATCCTGAGCAGAACACAAGTGCTGTGATCTTAACATGGGCAATGGGCAGAGCAAGACCCTGCGTGGCTCCAGACTGCTGCTGAGCGGGGCTTCCGGTGTTAATGAGCGGCCGCTCACACACACAGCTTAAAGGGAACATGGTCCCTACTGTTTATCAGGACAGGAACCCGTCGACCTGCTATTGCATCAGAGTGCAGGGAGCACCTGCTGGACGTGACTATCTGGCAACTGGTTTCACAGCAACCCTGTGAGGTAGGGCCACTGTGACTCTTTTCCACACTGCAGTCTGATCAGGGGCTAATGACTCTGTGGCAGAGGCAACGTTCAAACCCAGAACTTCTGGGCTCAGAGCTCAAGTCTTCAAGTGGTTGTGCACAGAGGAGGAAGAGAAGAAGAGGAGGAGGAGGAGGAGATTCGATTTATACCCCGCCCTTCACTCGGAGTCTCAGAGCGGCTTACAAACTCCTCTCCCTTCCCCTCCCCACAACAGACATCCTGTGAGGTAGGTGGGACTGAAAGAGCTCTTTCCAGAACTCTCCTTGATAGAAAAGCTCTGACAGAACTACTGCTTGCCCAAGGTCATCCAGCAGCTGCAAGTGGAGGAGTGGGGAACCTAACCCGTTTCTCCCAGATTAGAGTCCGCACACTTAACCACTACACCAAAGATCTTCAGATGTTACTGTTTTCCTCTCCTCAGTGTAAAATACTAACTC